AATTTCAATACCCGATTGAGTTATGGTTATAAATTATAATAGTTTTCCAAATACCCTGCTTCATATTGCGGATATATCTGGGTGTTCTACTTGTGATATTGCTAACATGAAAGTTATTACATTCAGCTGTTGAATTATGCACTAGTGGGGTATAATTTCTATATTGCAGTGTCATACTCATGCATGGCATACTGAATTGTACACCATACATTCCCGCATGTAATAGAATTTATATCACAGCGCACTACATTGTAACAGACCCTAGCCTCTGAAAATGACACTGAGGGAGAATGAATGGTTACGTATCGCATTAGACTTGGCAACTCCACAGCCGTTTTCATCATAATCAATATGCATCGCCAATATATTTTTCTTTGCATAATAACATTATTCTACAGAGACATGGCCCAATTTATGTGACACTCCATCAGATGCAGCAATATTAGTATGCGATACAGTACTGTGTGTAATGCATTGATCTTCTGAAGACTCCAGCAAAGACCTAACAGTGACAAGACCACACATTGCCTAGTACTGAGAAATGATTTCATTATTCTGATCTAGGAACATATGAGAAGGGTCTCTTTCCACACGTAATATGATTTTCAAGCAATAAAATCAATACTTGTTGTATAAATCCCCCCCGGTAAAAGCTTAGATTATGGTTTAATTGCATTCAATTGCAATTTCAGGGCAGCAACACAAAAAAAATGTTCTGAATGAAAAATCTGTCTCATATTGACATTTACTGCCATTTCTTAGCACATTTTTGTTATCATTTCATACTCAACCATTGTAACAAGCTACTAGACTAAGTACCTTCATTTTTTGGCACCACCAATAAATGCTAGAACCAGCCTAAGGCTATGATATGAAACAATCAACAGTTAAACAGTTTTCCATCAGTGACATGGTATTTTTGCCCTACAGATACCAGTATCCTATGATATAGGGTTGATTTAACTTACTACTACATTACAAAAACAAGAAGAAAATTGACTATGAAAATCCAGTTTTACTGCACTGAAATCCCTTTGGGTGTGTGTGTGGGGGGGCAATAATATGTCTAGGAATAAACAGCCCCAGGTTACACTACAGGGCAGGGAATAACACTCACAACAAAACCACATTTGCCTGTGGTGTGCTAAGGGGTGTTGTGACAGGTGTGCCATGACCTGTTCAGTTCCACTACCTGCTGCTTGACACAAGATAGAACACCTGTCAATCATATTTGACAACTCATGATAAGGAACAAAACCCTCTTTAGACCATACTGTTATCAAAACAAGTGAATACTGTAGTCAGTGTTACATACTTCAAAGAGTGTCTTAAGTTACAAAGAGATCAGGTACATTATTCAGACTGAGTCTACAGTAGTCTACTACCTAAATAAAAAACCTAAAGAAAGTAGGCTCATACATTGTACACTTCTTTCATACCTGCAGTTGGCAAGCACAGAAAGGCACATTTAGCCTACATACTAGTAATAGGCATAGAGTACTACTACCCACGAGTAAGTAATGTACCATCACATCAAGTACATTCCCACTTCTATGGCTACAGCCAGGCAAAATTTGTAGCTTTTACACAGAAGTGATGATTCTACATGCAATTTTCTCTAGACTGCTTGTCTATGGCTTGGATCTAGCTTATCCTCTCCTAGTTTGGGCTTCTGCCTGCCTACCACTACCAGTATGGGTCCCATATGTTCACTGTATATTGTTAGATGGGTTCAGCGTATAAGTGGTCCAAGTGGAAGCTCTTTTGCCTCAAAACACAATGACATTTGCTACAGTCCGGTCTCAAGTTGGTAGCATGCCAAGGAAACACCACACTTTCATTTTACTTATAAAATTCCTGTTTTGGTTCTACAAGCATTCATAACACATTAATAGATCATTAGTCCACTGAATTGTGACCCCCCCCCCCAAAAAAAATGATGGTAACCTACCTCAACCCAGTAAAAACGACCTAAATTATAATCCAATGCTGTATCCTAAGTGGTATACAATATTTATGTTCTACACCCCTCCTGTTCCTATCTCATCTGGATCATGCAAGGCTGGCATATTTTTATTTCCCCAGAGTATGCCTGCTGACCTATTTAGTGGGATAATCTGTCTGGTGAAACTGCATGCCAGCAGATATACCAGCTACCACAAGACGCCACAACTCACCACAAGACCCGATTTAAACCCAGGCAAAAACCTTACGTATGAAACTGCATACATACGCACGCGAGCGTACGAAAAATCCCTACATCAAAGTTTTTCTGCATGTAAATTGGTCTGCTTTGACGTACACCGTATGCTAGCCCTTGAGGTAACGTACACGCAGGCAAAATTTGATGTACGCAGTTTTCATACACTCATGTGCGTACACAGTTTCGTACCGTCAGAATCTTGCCAATGTATGAATCGGGTCCAACTCACCACAATACCCAGGGACACCCAACACAACCCTTGATCTGCAGAAATTCCTGCACCACCTGGTTTATACATACGAAAATACAGCCTGACATCAAGGGTTACTGGGCTGCTACATAAAACAGAAACAGAAGGCCTAATGTGGCAAACATTGTGTCCAATCTGTAAGAGAGTAGGACTTATCATAGGTCTTACCTGTACGCCAAGCAAACCGTCTGTACGCAATTCCGAGTGGATCTGGAGCCATGTAACTGGCTGCGCGCCAAACTTCATTAGTTAGCATCACACAAGTCATTTGGAAAATGAAGCGCTGTTACTACAACCATGTAACAACTGACGAACATGGCCAGTGGGATGGGCCATTACACCCGCTTTTCTGTCTCCAGACTTTTTTGCAATAATAACACTCTTGCTGCAGGTTCCGGCTCCAAATATATGACTGTCTAGAGGTGTGGACGGGTACGGCACCCCTAGCCCTTTGATGTGGTGTTCATGTAATGACAACCTCCTGGAGTATATTTTCAATTGCCCAGAATGACCCACCCAGATGACAGACCAGCACCCATTATTTTGTGCCTAGCCCTGTTGCCACCAGGCCCCCATAGGTTGTAAGGATGGACCAAATTACAGCTATCTACTCCCACCTACTGTAACACAGGTGCACTGGGGGAGAGACATACTTGTCATACTAATAGATGTCGGCTACACTTCCGGACTAGCTGATGATCTATCTCCTGCAAACAGGTTTTTTTGGACACTTAAAACTCTGATCAAGGGTATGCCCCCAGAGCATATATCTTCTTTCCATGCAGTTTGATTTCTATTGAGTTAGCTATAGGGTTTCCTTCTTCCAAAGAAACACAAGTACACAACTAAAGATATAAGATGCTCTGATAAAAAGACTGATACTTTTTCTGGACTGTTGCAATGCATTGGTTATGGCAGTCAATATAGTCTCACAAAATTATAGTTATTACTTACATCAAGGAGCTTTTACATCTTCTCCACCAAGGCTTTATTACATCTTTTTACAACTTTAATACGGTATACCCAATTCCGTGTGTAAACTTCAATAGCAGAGCTGTCTATAAATTATAACGTTGTATCATGGCAAAAAGCATGTGTGAGCTAACTACATTATAGTACATAGTCTTTAATTAACAAAATTATCTTTCAAAACACTCCCCCTTTTCTTCTGTAACATCCTACCTGAATACATTTTGTTTTAGGGTTGCGTTGGGCACAACTATAATATAACATGCTATCTGCCATCATCGCAAATCATTGGGATATTTCCTCAAGTTATCACTGCCCATATTTTTGCAGGAAATTCTTCTGAGTCATACTTCACATTTACAACTCTGTGTGTGGAATTACAACTCTAAGTGTTACCGTAGTTTAATGTAGCAAGTGGTCTTACTAAGTTACTTCAGCGGCAAGCCTGTCCACATAGTACATGAACTAGTACATGACAAGTTTGACAAGCCCAGAGGAACACCTGTTAATGAGCACCATATATTCTGTCTGCTGTCCTTGCTCAACATTCCATTTCATTACTCCGAGGGGAAAACCTTTTGTCACAGGAAACGAGGCATCTTTTCTCCCGCCTAACTCCGACACAACACAGTTTCAGCAGGTGACCATTGTATCCAGTCTACCTGTATTGTCCCACTATGAGCCCAGTACAATGTACCGAGACAATAGGCTAAACAATGGCCTTGTAAAACTATGTCACAGGGGGAGGGGACTGTGGTCATGTCATAGTAACAACAAGTTTTAGAAAACTGCACTTACAAAAGGGGGCATACACACACACTTCTTCAAAACAAACCGATCTCCGGTTGTTTACACAACATACATTTAGGACAGCGAAGTGACTACAGATGTAACATTAATCAGTAACAGTTAACAGTTAACAATTAGTCACTTTCTGTATTTACACAGCAAAAAAACAGAAGAAACATCAGGGAGTTTAGAGCGCTGGTATAAGTGATCAGAATCAGATTTACCGGCAAAGCTTTGCGGTGGAAATCGACACGGTTTCACCCCCCAAACACACCAGTTTCTATTCGAATGCCTTGCGTATTATGTAACTTACTGTTACGATCTTACAGTGATCTAAACATGTTTATATCGTGTACTACAAACCTGGCACTACACGGAACGTCTCGTCAGGACAGTTGTGTTGCTGTTCCGTCCGGAAAACGTAATGGAATGTGACGGAGGTCACACAATACCTTAAAGTTTGACACCCCGAAGAGGTTGTGCAGGCGAGTTCTGCCGTAGTCGGCCGAGAAGGCGTGTCAGACGAAATCTACACCAAAGAATCCCCTTTCCTGCAAAGTTTCACACGGCTAGACTGTGCCGATAGTGTTGACAATCACTTCTCAAATGGGCACGCAGTTAGACGGAAACTCACTTCTGTAAAAGGTGATTTGTTGAAACAGGTCTTTTACCTGTTGGGGAGGGCGTGTGCCTGATGACAAAACAACTTCCGCTATGCCCTGTAGTCCAAATTTGGGCAAAACGCGCTCATACTTTTCACAAACAACCACCGAGGTGGTCACGACTTACCCTCTGGTGCCTGGGGCTGCTGCTAGTCGTTGTCGATCGCTTGTTAACGTTGCGTATTCGGTCCAAACTCCAGAGAGAAACTCCACAAACTCCGGCAGTACTCCTGCTTGCCTGCCGCCCGCCGCCTCTTCACTCCAAATGATTATTTCTGAGCAGGAAATACGTCATCATGGGACACTTCCGGGACCTTCCCAAGTTCTGCACGAAACTGTGAGAGAAACAGCGACATCTAGTGATCAAAGATATTACTGCAGATAAACTGTAAAGGGAACACAGTCGTTTTATCTGGATAATTGACCTTTTGTTGACCTGGATCAGCCATAGCAATACTTTTGCCATTGTTTTACATGTAGACTACGTTGACGTCAGTTCACCGATACCACATATCACTGGACATTGACACCGAAGTTATGCCCCCCTGAGAGTGCAACTTGTTTGGGTAATAACGTTAAAGTTTGTACTTCACGTAAAAACGTTTTATACCGGCATCCTTAAATTAGAGTTTTGAAAATTGGTAAGACGTGTTTTCTTTTGAAAGTCGTCTGCACTTTTTGTCACTCACGACCACCTAAAATCATACACAGTAAAATATGCAGAATTTTGCACTCGATATCCACTGTATTCTTAGTGCGAATCGTAGTCTTTCAATTTATCAAATATCACACTGTAAAGCTAGAAACAAAGTCAGGAAAGATGTTCACGTCACACGGCTTTATGTAACGAGGGTGGCATATGCGATGGACCCTAGGCCTCTCTGGTGAATAGATACTGCCTGGCCAATTTGATACTGTCTTTTGCCACCCTAGGATCTGCTTGGAGATTAGTGTCGTCATACTTGCCTACCCATCAGACAACGTAAACCTCATAAACGTCACGTTACGTCACTGTGGTCTCTTTCCACCTTTATTTCTGACGTCATAATCTTATTTACATCTGTGAAAGTTTGAGATAAGAATTGGTCACGCACATCCTGCGTCCCTCAATCTTGTCAGGTATTTCACAGCCGCGAAAGTCGACGTCATTTGATGACGCGATGTTCAGTTTTCTCTTGATCAACACTGTCTTCCTGCTACAGATTGTAGCCAGACTCTTTGGCGTTCTGAAGAGAGGTGAGCGCAACTTTACTTCCATAAATCTCAGACCAGTTTTGGTCACCTAAGACAAGTACATACGGGTCCTGTAACTATGATGTTCTAAGAACAGCCCATACCACAGGCGCTAGGCCACCGAGTTTTTGTTGAGATCTAACAATACATGTAACGTTACATTGTTTTGTAAACCATTAAATAAAATCCTTATTATTGTTTCGCGCATGTTAGAACATACACTGTGTCTACTCATTCAGCCCGTTGCCATCACAATACAGTGGTCCGTTGAAATATTCCCAAAAATCATACAGTCACATAACACATAACACCGTGAACACGGCCCGTTGAAAGATTCCCGAGAATCATGCGTACACTGAACACGGTCACAAACTGATGAGGATTCCAAAGAACCATACGAACAGATACCGAAGTCTCCCGAAGATTGCCGAGAGCCGAACAGCGACTTCCGAACGCTTCATCTTGGTTAGGTACTTAGTACTAGTATACACTAGGTGCGAAATGCCATTTCAAAAGACCCTATTTTCTGCGAAATGCCATAAGGAAAATAAAAGTCTTGATACTATCTATAATCAAGGGGTAACTAAGTAGCCATGTAAACTTTTTGGGGGTATGATACCATATTTTAAAGAAGATATGAAGCATTTTGTAAAGTCCAATTTCCGGCGAACTGCGTTACCAGGTCGCTGCTGTACAGGTCAATGACATCATCGCTAGCCAATCAGACGCACGATAGGCCCACATTTCCCGCGCGGTTCTAAAATGTAAACGCACACAACTGGCTACATCACCCGACAAGAGTCTTGACATGCTATGTGTAAATGTACTCTAAACACGTCCACAAACCCCACCGACATGTTTTCAGTTCTACATATGTTTCCCAGGCATGAGATTTGGAAAGTGTAGTTGTGCCCAATATCTCTAAAATGTACTATATCGTTGTTTTCTGAGTCTGGGGAGGCAAGGGACGTTCACACCGAACGTGATTCTAAGTCACATTTTGCTGCCACCCCAGTTGGTAACGCAGTTCACGGGTAGGTGTTTCCTACCCTGTCATCTTTTTGAAGTTATCATCGCTAGCGCTAGCCCCGGCTAGGGGTTCTATCGAGTCGAGCAGCGGTTTTGCGAACGCATTCGAGTTTGCGAAACCTGTTCTATTCCCGTCGGTCTTTGCGCTACCCTGAACGCCAATGTAACAGCTGAGTAATGAGTGTGCTTTTATTGTATGATTCAGCGGACCAAGTACCCAGCAGTATGTATCATATATGTATGGTTCATTGTACAGAGAATTCTAGGGAAATTTTTCAACGGACCGTGTTCACGGTGTTATGCGATGAGT